AGTTAAAAAAAAGTTTCATGTTGATAACGGTACTAGAGATCATGCATTGTTGCGTTCAATGTCCGTTTGCGATGGAATATTGAACGGAAATCTACACCCTTTTGCAATATTTTGCATTTAAATTCATATTATACGCGCAATTAACTCTGTTTACTTGCTGCCCATGTACCTTACATGTGACGTATATATTTATATTGTTTATCTGGTAGATACAAAACTAGAAACTTAGCGTCTGTCTCATCAAATTAAAAATTGTCTGATAACAATCTATTGTATGTAAATCATGCGATAAAAATATCAGATTTTGTTACTTTATCTGACAGTGACGTCATTTTAAGCTATCTGAGCCTCTATCAGCCAGTGATGGGGCAGGACGTTAGAGTCTGTCTTACCAAATTCTTGTAAATTGTCAGACAACAATCCCACGTGTAAAATATGCGATGGAAATATCAAATTTTGTGAGTTAGACAGTGACGTTATTTTAAGTTTTCTGAGCCTCTATCAGGCAGTGGTGGGACAGGCCCTTAGTGTTTTCACATTTATGGAAATTTATATTAACGTTTAAACCTTGTATTAGATGATATAAAGATTTATATGTCCTTAGAAGACGATAATACGTTGTCACATCTATGTTAATGTGTCGTCTTTCGCGCTTGTGTATCGACTCCCTTGAACTAAAATAGTGAAACCATAATTATTACTGAGTACCAAGAGGCGTGAGAACAATTCCCATAGATAGTACTGTTATTTACACAACATCTATTGCTATCCAGATTACGGATGAAGCTTATACAGGATGTATTAAAATATCTTTATTATTATACTTTCCAATTCCTTTACATAAATATTCTGACGGACCAACTTCAATATGTTTTCATTTCCTTTTATCCAAGTGGAAAAAAATCTGTATAAAAGGTATGAGAATGAAAAAGACGTGCGTGAAGTGTCAGATTATATTGTCGCACTATAGGTAGGTATCAAGATTTTATAACGTAGTTGTTAAATTTTTTACTGTAGACTTTTGTTGCTTTTTCGAATACTTGAAGCGGGGGTTATTTTCTTATCATGGTAATATACTCGTATTGTAATATTGACTGTAATTGTGATACCAAAGCTTATTCGTATATTTAAATTCAACCGATTTTAAAAATCAACAGTGCGTTGATCTGTAGCTAAATGGGTCGATAACTGTAATGGACTTATTGTTCTCGAAGACATAAACACTGTCGCGGTATTACGAAAAATTATATAAACATACTCGTTATTGCGACATTTTTATAACCGTGAATTACAATTAATATAAATCTTATTTAATTATTTATTCTTAACGCCCCCTATAAAATACATTGTATACTTTACTGCCTTATAAAAATGTCAATAATATTGATTTAAATTACTTTACCCTAATTACATTTAGAGCAGAAATAAACTTTTAATAGTTTTGTTGTTTTATTTTTTTCTTTGATTACATTGTTGCGGGCACTAAAGTTTTTGTGGTTAACATTTCTACCAAAACAACCGAATAGTTTGCTTACTTTTTAGACTCTGTGTGCAACAATAACATTTTACTTTATTATTTTTCCATGCTAATGTGGTCATTCACACTTTCAAATTACTTTCCCTTGGCATGCACTCGCCGAATAAAATTGTTAGTACGCAAAGTGTTGGTTTTTTTGTCTTATGTCAATAGTGTTGTCGATGTTCGTAGAAAAAAACCTGAATATCTTAATGGAATATAATGTAACATTCGTATTAACAAAGGAATATTATATTTAGCACGGAATGACTCAAACACGACAAAAGACTGTACTCGAACGATAACACAAAAAAGCTTTTGTTAGCTGAATTTGTATGAAAAACGAATCCTTATTTGTTAATTCATATGGATTATCCTTATCTGCGATGAAACTCAGCTATTATACTTAAGTTAATTTAGTTAAGCTATAAAAAACTTTACATCGCTGTTACAACTTAAAAGCTTCTTTCTTTCAGAATGTGTTACAATTTTTTTTAGTATTAATCTTTCTAGAACACGTAAATGTCGCAAATCTTGTTGTATCCCGTATGGTCTAGTGGCTAGGATACCTGGCTTTCACCCAGGAGGCTCGGGTTCGATTCCCGGTACGGGAAGTATTATTTCTATATATTTGTATATTAACTAAGCTGATTGAAAATTATATGCCTATGCCTTTTTGTAAATTTTACGAAAATGTCACAAATAAAAGGCATGATAACAAAATTTCAGCAGCAATTTTTTCTTAACTTATTTAGATTTCAGATCTTTATAAAAATAAAAACATTAGTTTCTTTGAAATTAGTTTTATTCCCATGGTTTTTCTATAACTACTTTTTGTCCTACTAAAAAGAGAATTTTCGTAATAATGTACTCGTGTATGTCCTCTTTATGTGCGTCTCGTTCTCCGTCAATTAAGGGTAGGCAACTCATCTGCAATTGCGGATGTCTATGGGCAGCGGTCGCTTTCTATTTCGGTGGATTCAGGTGGCCGCTTGCTCGTTTGCCACCTTATATTACATAAAAAAATGCCTTAACGATTTTGACAAATAAAGGTGTACATTTGCACTTCCCCGACGCGTCATACGGGTACTATCAGGCTTATTGATTTTTTTAAATTATCCGCTAGTTATTTAAAGCTAACTTGGTGGCGTTGTATCGTACACCCGAAGAAGTAGTTACGAATAATTTTCTCGAACATTTACTTGGTCAGTTCGAGCGTGACGCGTCCGAATCGCCTTCCTTTTCCTATTGTCGGTGAAACGTACGTTGCGTAAAATATTCGCGCCAATTGTATTAACATTACACATACTTAATTATATTATACTTACGTTTGTTACATTCGATCGTAATTTTGGCGTGGTTATGTACGCGGCCTATTATAAGACCTTGTAACCGGCCGGTTAGCGCCTAAACAAAGTGAGGCGTTCACGTCGTATAGTAGTTGAAGAATTAGATTCTCATCAGACGCCAAAATTTTTACATGTTTGAGTTTCTCTGCCACATCAATGACAAAATCGTAAATAATATAGATTTCTCATCGCTCGCTTTCATGTAATTGGAGAGTCCGTATGAAAGATAGAAAAAACACCAGTTTTACGGAGATGCAGTTACGTTGTTGATAACTACTCGTAAAATCGAATTTTAGTTGTTTGGTCTGTCTTTCCGCAAGCCGCGTTTGTTCCAGGTAAACTCCGGAATGGGTGAATCGGTTTTTTCGGGACTTTCACTAGAGGATAGCTGATGTATGCGGAAATGTTATAGATCTTTATTAATTCCGGACTAACGAAGTTTGCGGGATTCAGGTCGTCAATAATAAAAAAACAAAGCAATAAATAAAGATATTATTTTATTTCCTTTCCTTACAAAAATTATTTACAACATTATTATGCACATATCGTATAAATCATTACAAATGAGATAAATGAAACTATACGCAGCAGAACACACGATCAATTGAACTAAATAAAATATTTATTATGAACAGATCGTTACGCTCTTCACATCTCTGCTATCGAACGGTTATTGCTACGTATAAAAAAAAACATTTTTAAATCTCATGATCGCAATAACATATTAAAAAAACATTGCTGCCGATGTCTTATAAGGAAAATCATATTTTAGAATTATTACACTATCTCATTTTAGAGAACTTTATATACTTTATAATATATATGTATATGTTTCGGCAATGAGAACGTAATATGTTATTGCGATCAAGAGTTATGTGATGTCTTGTATATGAATTATATTCTTTTCATTATAGCATAATAGGGGGTCACATTTACACATATGCTTGGGGTCATTTATTTTATTTTTAATTTCTATATTAAATAAAAAATAAAGATTACAAAAACAAAATTCCTATTATGCTATAATTAAAAGAATATAATCAACGCCGCTTTTTTAATTACTTTTGTCACCACTGAAGCAATTTAATTCCATCATAGTTGATGAAAAATAAATAAGGACATATATAATGAAAAAAGTAAGAGACAAACAGGCGTAAAATTGTCATTTTCGGTAGGAACTAAAAATATAGAAGCAAAAATAACTGTAGGTTTACACTGATTGGTTTAAAAACTTGATATGCTTTTAATTAAAAATCAGATCCATTTTTTATGTTTTATACGTTGTCGATTTCTCTCCAGTGGCAACCCTATTATACTAAATTATTAACAAATCCCGGAATATTCATCCCAAAAAAATTTTTCCTAAAATAAATATGGCGATAGTTATTGGTTTAATGCATAATAAACTAATATTCAGTAATTCTAAATAACATGTGCCCATTTCTCGCATGCTAACACTAGGGTTGTTACATAAATACATATTGGTCATATTAAATAGTATTCTTGTGTCAAGATTTTCATTAAATTACAAACAAAATAACGAATTAATCTTTCTAAATATAGTGATAAATGATAAAAGGTTTTTGGGAAAAAAATTAACAAGAAAGTAAAAAAAGGAGAAAAATACATAAGTAAAAAGTAGGATGTAATGCAAAATGATATTTTGGAAAATAAAAATTAATTATTGTTATAAACTAATTGTCAATATAACACAATTTTTAGCCGTATTTACACTTACCATTAAAAAAGCTTATATTACATCACTAAAACAAATATAACCGCTAACTCTATTTATGGTACATTATAAAGTAATACTTCCATTAATACATATTAAAACTAAGTTAACTGTACATAACTAAACTCATACAAAGTTTAGGCCAACAGAGCCACACTGTGTAAACAAAATTATTGTCTAGGCAATGAGAAGCGATCGAGATATTAATGTGGGTTTCCACTAACACACTTGTATTTAAAATATAATAATTCTAATTCAAGTATATAGACAGTGAAATCCTACATTTAACAGGCAGACAGATGTTACTGTAAAGTTGTTATTTTCATCATAAAAATGACTGACAACTTTAAACCCATAGATTTTGACTTTACACTTGTATTGACAGATATTTTCTTTTTTATGAGACGTGTCAACACTCGTGAGCAGTTTTGCCGATGACGTCATAACTTATGGCGTTATTACAGTACAAAGTAGACCATAGACAAAGTAATATTCGATTATCGATATCACTGATAAGCAAAAATGTTTCTGACAATAACTTGCGATAAGCACGTATTTACAGACCTACAAGAATTATATGGATGTTGGTAATTTTGTGAACTCACAATGTCATTTTTCGACTAATGAGGAAGCGGGAACTGCACTGTTGTTTGTCGCTATTCAATTTAGTAAAAAAATAGCATGTAGTTTGGTTTTGTTTTCAACATGAGAGAATTTCAAAAGATGCTGGGAATTTTAGGTTCCCGCTAACAATAAAAACTAGCAGCTTCCGTCAATGTCAAACTGCCATAAGATCCTTGTAGGTCTATATTCCTACATATTTTGTCGATTCTACTAGCGATATTGCTAGTAGAATGGACAAAATGTGTCAAAAGGCATAGAAATGACTATGTGACAAGTACGTAATTTATCGAATGTCATATACAGTTTCAATATTTTTAACTTTTGTATGCGATAGTTATAATCGAATATTACTTTGTGTAAGAGGGCTGAGCAAAAGAGCGCGTCGCGATTCTGGGCGTCATCGGATAACCACGGCTATAGACCGACAAGTTATTTGACCCGGTGGACATAATTGAAACTAAATTGTTAACTCACTAGCGCCCTCTTTTACCATTTTTTGATTATTTAGTACATATTTTCTGACAGAATCGATATCAGTGCTACTCACCGGAACATCCTTGTAACATACAAACGCAATATATCTACCAAAGACATCCGAAAACATGTCAAAAAATCTCTTAAAAACATTGAACACTTCATAAATCGCAAATTATTGTAAAATTGTAAATGGAACACAATCGCCTAAACTGATTATTTATATTTAGATATTAAATACATATGCAATTCTTATTATATAAAAACTAACATTTCGATGTATGAATCAAGATTTCGCTAAAAATACAAGAAAGAAAGAATTCTATGAACCTAGATGAGTGAAAATCTGTTAATTTCATATAATAATAAGAATTACATAAGTATTTAAAAATATCAAATGATTTACAAAACTTATTTCTATAGATTTTCTATCGGTTTTATGGCGATGGTATATTACAGTATAATCAGGCACTTTTTTCATGGAAGTCAGTTTTATTAATTTTGGAGTTTTATTTTTTCCGTTGTGTGATTTTTTTTTTTATCTTAAAACCATTACTCGCTCAGTCTTCCTTTCCTTATTTACATGGACAATCTAAATTACCAACTTTCTCAATCACAAATATTCATTTAATTTATTATTAATAAATTACTTCAAATTATTATTTATCTACGTTCAAGACGAATGTTTATGTAATTTTCAAATAATCCTTTTAATATTCAATTGACTTTAAATAAATTAACGTCACTTTATCATTGTTATAAATCAGTTTTATTACAGAAAAAAAAACTTTGTGCATTTTATTGTTCAAATTGAATTTTCTGATGAAATTTTTTTTCTGATTAAGTTAATGTACAAAATTACAAATAAAAAATATTTTAATTAAGGACGAATGGTTGGATATCACAAACCTCCGTTCAAAAATTGACATTCCCTCGTTTTAACACTTTTAAATCAACAAAAATAATTAACGAGGGCACAATTTACCTATTGGTAATTCTGTAGATTGTACAACATTACTCTTTGCAGAAGAATTTTATTTGGAATTCATGAACCCAATCATAGATATGCTATTTTCTATTTCCAAGCGAAATAGCACAAAAATGCTGATTTACGACTTATTGGAATTATTGGATGGCCAGAAATATAAAATCCTTTGACATAACACGAAAAATTACAGAACTGGTAACAAAGAAGTCTATTGAATCTCCTTCAAGCTAAGGATTTTATATTCTCGGTTAGTCTATAGTTATTGTGATGTTACTTACGAATACTGAAACGAATCAAACTTCAATAAACGCCGCTTTATAAAATCAAAATTTCAATGAGATTTGCATTATAAGACGGTGTTTTTAAATGTTTCAGTATTCGATCGTTTACATTTCTCAAAAGCAAACACTAACAGTTTGTATACACTTAGGTCTGTTTCTTCAAAACTTGAACACTAATGATCCTGAACACGACACAAACCAGGCATGTAGCTTAAATGTCTGACGGTGCTATATAGCATTTTCCCCCTCAATAAAAAGTCTGTCGGTGTATCGGTCTGTAGGTCTGTAGGTTTGTCGTTCTGTAGGTCTGTCCGTCTGTCGATCTGTAAGTCTGTCGGTCTGTCGGTCTGTAGGTCTGTCGGTGTGTGTGTGTGTGCTAGTGCGCGGCGTGCGCGCTGTGCTGCGCCTTCTTCTTGCGCTGCGCCAGCATGTCGTAGAAGGGGTTGTGGCTGATGGAGCGCCGCAAGCACTCTATCCACTCGTCGCGCTCCTCCGCCGTCGCCGCTGACATTCTGCAAATCAATTATTTGTTTTTTTTGGCAATTTTACGATTTATTTCCTTATTAAAATAAAATTTTTATTTTAAGAAGTATATAAAATTCTTTCTTCCATAACCTATGAAAAGAGATACAAATGTCAAAATTCAAATGCACAAATGATAACGAAAGCCTTTGATACCATGGCACCCTTGCTTCCTTGATGTTGGCAACAACTTATGGTCTCTTTCTTAGAGTTTTTATCCAAAATATTTACCCCCTAAGCTTAATGGCGTGAAAATATATAGCCTAAAGCGTGACTTAAGTGTCAGGCTTTTTATTAAGGAAAGAATTATTCAAAAATATGCTGTAATTGCTGACAACTTAAGCAACAAAGATGAGTGTATTTACGCTTTATTATAATAGATATATTATGTCTCTCGATAGTATTAAAACGTTAATAACAATGTAATTTACCTATAAACGGTGTGTTTTCCTTCAACGACTTTTCCTTCTGAATCAGTTTTGCATGCCTTGATGAGGTCCGCGCCGCCGCTCGCGTACAGCTCCAGGCAGTGCGGCCGCTGCCGGTCGCTGGCGGGCCGCACCTGCACACCACACTCTGTACTGTACTCTGCTGCACCTCACACTCGTCAACCGTACAAATATACTCAACATTGTATTATTTATGATTTAAGCATTTAATATTTATTGTACATTTGGTTTTTTAGCAATGTAGTATTAAGTTTTAATCATTTCTAGTCATTTTTAAGTTAACCTTAGTTGTAATGTAGTAAATTAAACTAGGCTAGAAAAGTGATTAAAGCTGTGATAATAAAATTTTAAGAAACTCTATAAAAAAAAACATATTGAAAAAATTATTACACCCGAACCCCATGTCCTAAGTTAATGTATGTCAGGGGAACGATGAGGGCGGCAAAAAGGCCGCCCCCCCCAAAAAAAACCGTAGAAATATAACACTAAAAGACTAAATAATCATCGTCATCACCAGCTCATTATACGTCCCCACCCAGGGACTCGGAGCCTACCCTAAGTTAGTTTGACTAGGCCACCAATACCAATAGCAATGAAAAAATGTTATTTACTACGTATCGTCTATATGTTTCTTAAATATCTTGACTAATATAGGTTAAATACTGCATAATTTTACAGTGAACTATTCTGTTTTATTTAAGAATTCAAAAACTATGTCATTGACACTGCACTGTAGATTTAATTAATTTCGAGTAACCAAGTTGGTCACCCCTGGTTTACATTGTTCAAACAGACATTTATCAAACATTTTAAATAATTATTTTAGAAATTCCATTCAAGTATATCCATAAATCAAATGAATGAAAGGGGGGTTTGAAAAAATAACAAAATATGATGCAGGTGACTAAAATAAAATGTCACTTTAGTAACAATAGTCGAATTTGTAGAGTAAAATACTCACCGATATATTTTCTAATGGAATGATGCCTCTCGGCTCCTTGTCCGTCGTGTATTCGAAGTAATATAAACAGTTATCATTCAATATGAACCAGCGTCTCTTCCATGATTTGTATCTGGAATTATAACAAATGGTACTTTTAAAATTTTTTATCAATGAAAAATAATAACGAAAATAACTTTTTCCTCTTTCTATCATTTATTTTAATTACACTTTTTGACCTTAAGCCATTTTATTACATTCAATAAGTTATACATTTTTATTTTATACTAGCTTTCGCCGGCGTCTCCGTCGGCGTGAAATTAAAAATATGTGTTCTTTCATACTATACTCTACACCTATACTAAATTTCATGAAGTTTAGGCTACAAACTAACAAACATCCATCCAACCAAACTTTCGCATTTATATTAGTAAGATTAGCATACCTTCCTCCTTGCTTCCAGAGCCATCCCTCTTTGTCCGGATTGAAGAAAGTATGCATCAGATCATTGCCGTCGTCCTCGGGTATTTTGAAGGGCTCCGTTTTTATAGACTCGTATAATGACTGTAACACACAACAAGCAAACTTCAATACGACTTGTCACCAGCTCTGTAACTCGCAGTATGCCATATTTACTGTTATCATTACAGTGATAAGAAACAACGTCTATCATCTTTGTTTACATTATGCTGGTTTCACACGAAGACAGAACAGTGACGCGCAGTACTGTCATGTTTAAACGCACATTTACCGTTAAAGAGTTAAGTTGTGTCTTCATTAATATTGCCTTCTTCTATTTGTACTGATCTATACTATTACTCTACGTCACTTTTCGGTCGTCGTGTGAAAGAAGCATTATATCGAAGTTCGCAAAGAGGTCAATGTTGTCAATAACACGATTCATAATCACGTTTTAACGGTTCAGTTGCTACGAATAATAGATGAATTTATTATTAGATGTGTTTATTCAGTAGGTTGAATTGAAAACATAACAATGGTTTTTGTAAACTTGTATAGTAGGCTGTAAGAGCGGGCGCACTTTGACTTAACAATCGTACGAATGTTGTGCGATTCGAATTCAACTGTTTAGTTGCACAACTAAAAATCGAGTAGTGTAACCTCCATATAAGCTCATCGGAATCAAAGCGCGACTAAACAGTTGTGCGATAGTTTCTCTAAACATCAATCCTAAAAAAAGTCACCAACAATAATGAAAGTAAAATTTGAATACCCGATTTAAATAATGAATTTTCTGTATGGTTTTTAATAGTGACGTCATTGACAAATACGTCACTGTGTACGCAGTACTGGGGTACGCACGTATCCTGTGACTCATGTTCCCTTTGTGACATACATATGCTAACATTATATACATACAAATGGCGCTGATATGTTTGTGCGGAATGTTCACACGTGCCCACACATGACTATCACATCGCAAAGTCCACAACACAATCACATGCAATATTTTTATATTCATAAAACTGATAATGAAATGGGAAAACCATTATTGCTTTTTTACATAGTAGCGTTTGCCCTCGATTTAAAAATCAAAAGTAAATAGCCTATGTGTTTTTCCAGATTATCTTCTACATCTATGCCAAATTTCATCGAGATCCGTTCAGTCGTTTAGACTACAAACTGTAACAAACATCCATCCACCTAAACTTTCGCATTTACCTATAACATTAGTAAGATTTGATATTACAATTAAGAATTGTGTTATTTTAACTGCAACTACTGGGTCCATAAATTTATTAACGACTTAAAAAAATTACCAAACATCAGAAGTGCTAAATTAAATCCTATGCCTGTATTAATATAGTGGGGAGTGAATTTAATTCTCTAACTATACTAACCAAGAGCAATTCATGAGGTAAGTCTCCGCCATTGTTGATACCACGGTTCATGGCTACAAACTGTTCAGGCGCCGGCTTGTCTTTCACACTGGGGTTGTGAAGCGACGTGTTCAGCATGATGATGGCGAAACTCAGCACATAACATGTATCAGCGTTCGTGAAGATGTCCGGGTTCAATTGGCAGTAGCGCTGCGCGAAGCACTCCATCATTCTGTCGATCTTCTGAGCTTCGCCCGGCAATCGAAAACTCCAGAGGAATTGTCTGTAAACAACATGTACATTTATGAAACTAACTTGCGATGGAAATGAACAACAATCACGTCGTTTTTTATTTAAATAGCTTCTTATATCTTGACAACGAAAACTCAATAACATAGTATTTTAAAAGAAACAAATAGTACATTTAGTACAGATAGTACAGTAGGGTTTGCTCTGATTACAATTTTTGATATCGATTCGATAATCTGTGACGTCACCGAATCACTATCGAATGTGACTCATGTTCTTGATAACGAATATATTCGTCTCTTACGGCTTCTGATTCATTTGTCACTGATTAAATTTCCGTCATTCAATTTTAAACATACCGAATATTGTGCTTAAATGAACATCGCTATCTCTTTTTCTACGTGTTTTATTACATTGTTTAATAAGAACATAAAGTCAACAAAGGCCACTTATTATCGCAAACAGGATACGCCTTTTGTGTACATTTTCGTGACTAAACAGGAAAAAACCTTAAACATATTGAATGTTAATGACCTATCTGTTATCAATGTTAGTTAAATGACGTAGGTATTTTTGGTTGTCAAAGCATAAGTAAACTTAACCTCACGGTTACTACGCAGTTTAAAAAAACCTTCGGGTGAGTTTTTCTACATTTTCCCGTATCTCACGCCTAAGTACCGTCGGGTTTTTACCCAAACTTTAAAATTATAAACCTAACCGTCCTACGCAACAAAACAGGACATAAAATGAGGTCACTTTTCTAGATATGGGTAGGAAATACCGATTGCATGCAAATTAAAAAAAAAACATTACCCATATTGGTTTTCAATGCTTTTTTAAAAAAAGTTTTCTAAATGAGAACATAACATACTGCGATAAATAAATGAAAGTGTGAACAAAAAGCGTACATAAACGGTGACAGGTTGTTCATTATACAAATAGCAGAAACATCCCCTATAGCGACCCTGCACGACAATTAACAGTCGCTTTTGTTATTAAAACACTGCATACAATGGATAATATTTCATCACAAACTGTAATTAAAATAACTGCATAGTATCGAGATACATTATTCTTCACCGGAAAATAGGAAACCGCTATTATTACGAAATTCTTTAGACGCAAATAAATACTGTCTCCAAACTAAAACATCTCTAAAGCCAAACAATCTACATGAAACAAATGTGCGTAGGAATATCTAATTTGAATTGGAATCTCCAAATGTCTTCATATTATAGAAATCTCAGTTGTGTTTCCCACTTACGTAATTCTTTATTCATCTATCCGATACAAGCAAAAATTATTGAGTAAAATGTTATTCCAAAATAAACATAAACATGTGTTCAAATAGTATTCATTATCGACAAGATACAACTCACTGTATAAACAAATAATTTGTTAAACAGTAATACCATTTCGTAATCTAAAATAAATACGATCTCGAATTCTCGGAATAGCGGTACAGAACGGCGAAAAATAAACAGTTATTGTAGCGAGAACAATACTGATAAAAAATTATTAACTAGAACAAAATGTAAATCTTTTTACTTTTTGTACTGAGATTCGAGAAAAGCAAGGAGTTCTCAATTATCTAGAGCTTGTAATATTAATGCGAAATTACCTTAACGCTTGTACTAATATTAAATCCGTAAAGTCGTGTAATTCGACGAAGGCTCGAAGGACGGCTTCATTGAACTCTGACCGCTCGCCCAAGTAGTCGCCGATAGCCGTCTTGCTGAGGCCTTCGCCTTTGTGAAGAAATTGCGCCACATCCTCTGGTGTCCTTTGCAGCAATCCGTTCTCGTAGAGGTATTCTATGCCTGAAACGAAAAATGTTAAAATCAAATTGTGTCATCTATAATCTGTTATTGTAGAAATAATTATTACACTGGTATTTTCTTACAATTTAACAATTACATCCTTAACTAAGTAGGTTCATTTCTTTGTAAACAGGGAGTGAATTCAAAAACAATCTAAGACCGCGTAATCGATACGCATGTTTTTTTCTTTGGGCGGTTGTTTACTCGGTATAATGCGTGAAAAGTAGACGATATTACAGAACAATGGAGGGAAAGAAATGGAATGGAACATAATTTTCTACAACACTGAAAACCACAAACGTTGTAATGACAAGTGTTCGTAGATTATTATTTCTTGCCTACCTGGTAAATAACCAACATTACCAACTAATAGAATTATTCATAATACTGCGCAATAAGTGATTTTTCAGTTTAATATTATAAAACACATTTTTTAAACCTAGAAGTTTAAATTATAATAAATCAATACTAGTTCAACTCATCTATCAGTCCCGGGAGCCTACAGACATAGCTATAAATACTAGTACTGGTAAAAGCCGTTGGAAAATTTTAGCTGCTAAGCACAGAAATTTACTGCAAAAAGGGATAAACAGGCGCTTTGATGTCGAGGATGGTCGTAAATTACGCTCGGGGTGACGTCATTTAGTTCCAAACGTTCCCCAGCAGAGGGGGCGGAATGCGTAGGCCGTTAGGCGATCCGAGCTTTTATCGATGAAGCCTCCATTTGATACCTAACTTCAGTACCCTTAGATTGCTGTCTCTAGAATGATTAATGTTGTATAAGAACTAAGTCGTTTCTAGATAATGATTCTAGTCACAGCGCCACAAGAAACGTCATTTAACTGCAACTAATGCAGGAAAGATAAGATGGCGACTTTGCATTAAGTTTTTTTGTATGTCTACGATGTTTGAGCGTGCTAAATTGTAGATAGCATAATGACAAATTGCCGTGAATGATGAAAAAGAAAGCCAAGGGTGTGGGGGCGCGCAAACGACACGAGGTAAGAGTAACGAGAGAGCTTGTTAGCCCTCCAACGCTACGAAGTTTTACATAACTATAAACAATCCTTGTATTTGCATCAACATCTGCCACAAACATTTTATTACATATGTGCCCATGTATGATTCACCTTATGTGCATTTAATATTTTACAGATGAATACGACATCTATAAATATTGAGGGGTAAAACGCATCACATTCAAGCATATACGGCTCGTCATGAAATAAAATTTGAATTATGCATGAGAACATATACCAGTATCTTGGTATTATGCAATACAGCCAGGACGTTAGTGGGATGCTATATTACAAATGCCTGTGGAGCTAGGAATCGGGAAGTGTATGAATAATTATGCTAAAATTGCGATTGAAATTGGGTCTGTGTAACTATTTAACTTGCACATTTGTTGTATATCATCATTCAGAAAACCGAATACTAAACAGCAAAAAAAACCTTCATCGAGGTCAAATTTGAAAAAAGAATCCGTTATTCCTCATGGAAGTCAATACAAAAACACGTTAAAAGCCGCATACAACTTCGCTGACGAGAAGGAAAAGGCAGTAAAAGGTTTTGTTAAGCTCACTAGTGACATGCCTTTAAAGAGAGATACATGTTAACAATTAATCATCAGCGAGTGTTACGTAAACTACATTGTCCGCAAAACCAGGACGACTCTATTGTCCGTTGAGGCGTTGTTTGTAACGGGAGCGCAGCCAGCGAAGCGAGCTTGCAAGAGTTTTCAAAGGAAATGTACCTTTCCTCGACTTGTTCTCTGTTAATTGACTTCCTGCTGTCAAACACGACCTAATTAGATGATATCTAGAGACTTTTGGATTGCACCGGTAATTAAAAAAAAGCGGTTCAGATTTTGTACTCATGAAGAATAATAATGCATGGATGTAGAATTAAGAAGTTGGGTTAGTGCATTCTTATAATCTTAAAACAAAAATAGTCATACTGTTTTATTTTTCTTTGGAAAAACCGCAACACAACAGTGTTTCCTGGTTGTTTATTATTCGTAGCATATTTACACATTCTTAACTGATGTCAGGAGGTATATCGAGTTATTGCTGCGTAAATAAAATACCTCTGCGACTGACCGGTTTATGAGATGACATCGGTATACGTAATTAGTTACAGAGCAGTGATCACAGATAGGAGATATCGCATCTAATGTATTACATTAATGTTTTACAATGTGAAACAGCCTGTATAAAAAAGACATATTAAAAATTCATGACGTATTGTATTAGAGACAATTGTAAACAAGTCCATTTATTTATTAGTCGTATGTTTTTAACACAGAATTAATTATGACACTGCGAACTTGTGTTCCATTACTTAATCTAATTCGTAAATATACGCGAAGACTACATTAAAAACTACGAGAAAAACTTGATTACGGACGATAGATGTTTTAGCTAAAGAGAACGTGGAGGTGAATAACCTTGTTGATAACAATATTGATATTTGCGATTTTAATCTTAGGGAAACAGACGTCATCGAAGTGATGTGCTATTCGCATTTTTCAGGCAATTTATCAACGTTCTAAAAAATTTAGCAAAGCAAATATTGATAACCTTGATCTCTATAATTTTGTCTATTTCAAAAGGCGAATATGTCCAGTATTCGCATAGAATTAATGATTATGTTGAACTTTGATGAAAACAAGTCTCAGCACCTACATTTCCAGCACAAGGACGGCATTTTACAACATGCATTCTGCGTACCTGACCCACATTCGTCTTTTAGAATCTTACATTAGCTGAGTTAAAAGACCTAAAGTGATGTTTCTCACAACTGCGGTCATTTATACATAGTTTTATCGCAATTTTTTAAGATTAATTTTTATTCGTAATTCAATAAATCCTTTGTAAAGCTGTGTGGTTAGTTGAAACATTAAGCCTGGAAATATAGGCTCAGTGTGGTCAGAATCAAAAATGTTATAAAGTATGATAGGATTTTGTCCTAAACTTCCACTATACAAGGGGTGTTCAACCTTGCGGAAAAATAATTACAGCTCAAATGAGCTGATTGTTATCTATTTGAGCACCTTTTATGATGGCATTAAATCCACTAATTAGATGAGGGAACATTGTCTGAGCATCGTGGTTAATTATCAGTCATATAATATGATTAGCCTCACAGGTGTGACTTGGAAGCCGGGCATTTGACATGTTTAGCTTAATCGTTAGGAGGCTTCTCCGATCTAGCTGAAAATTACGGTATCAACTGATAAGATTACATTTTTATTAATTAAAATAGAAAAACATGAGGTGCCTGTAATGACACAAATTAATTAGTGACACAAACTGGATGTTAAACAACGACGTCACGAAGACTGTTTAAAAGAATAAATTAGCCTAATTTGTAGATTAACTAGCTTTCGCCCGCCATTCCGTCTGCGTGGAATAAAAAAAACAAACTTTGTAGTCTATGTGTTCTTCCAGACTAACCTTTACATCTATGCCAAATTTCATCGAAATCCGTTCAGCCGTTTAGGCTACAAATTCTAACAAACATCCATCCATCAATCTAAGCTTTCGCATTTATAATATTAGTATGATAGTATGAAGTATGATTTACCCTGTAATTCGATAAATAAAATATGAGTATGTCAAAGATAATTCTTTGACATACTCACTGTTCTTTTTAATAAAAGCAATATGTATTAGTCGAGATGACAAAATAAGTGAATTATATTCATGACATTTAGATAATCCAGTCAGTTCAGTAACATCTGTTGGCTGCCTCGTCGAGCGTGGGAATGGCGCACCTGTCTACAAATGCTACGATGACGAGTTAGCTACGTATGGCATCACATACATCAACGAGTTTATAATTGACCAACTACAACTTATATTTCTAAGGAAAAAGATGGAAAGTAGATAGAGGTGTCATTTGAAAGTATTAGAACTTTACTAGTGTGGATAATCGATCAAGAATGTCTTTAAGGTTGTGATATTCCACGTCGTTAATGAGAAAAGTATTTAGTTCTTTCATAGTAATTCTATCCGTTTTAAAATATTTTTACAATCTAAACTATTAGTTAAAAGTTCATTAATTAAAAATTATAAGTCACAGTCTTAAGAGCTATTAATGCATTTAAATTGTAATAAAGATGCCTTCTAAATGTTCGAGAGATAAAACTTATCGACAAGTATTACCCGTGTAGGCCGAGTTCATCTGCTCTTTGTTATGATACATAAAACGTGGGTCGACTTAAAAGATCATTACTTCAAATGAATATTACCCAATAATTGTTAGTACTATTGAAATTAAAACATAATGTGTTACTCTTAGGGTTAAGGATGTTAGGAAGTCTGAACATCAAGATATATTTACTATGGACTCTTTTCTCACTTATTAGATAAAACTTAGAGAATGAATAAATGATAGCATATAAACATAAAATAATTGACAATTGAAAAACAATGAAAAACGATTTACCTTTCTTGGGGTCCATATTGAATTTTTTCCTGCCTATGCTCATCTGTTTGGCTTTGCTATTCTGTTTGCACTCCTCCTGGCCGTCGAGAGCCTCCAGCTCCGCCACAACTTCGCCCAGCTCATCTTTGAGTTGCTGCAGAAGATAAAACCAATTAACATTTTGTTTCCACGTCGCTAAACAAGGCAAAAAAATAGGATACATTTGAAAGTACACCTTTTCAATGTTTCTACCTATATATCCTAACTTCAAAAAATTACAGTAGGGAACCCCAAAAACTTAACAGCTGAGCACCAACAATGTCAATTTATCTTAACCTTTTTTTGTCAATAAAATTTATTTCAGTATTTTATATCAGACTAGGTTTTTCTCGAGACTTCGTCCACGTGGATTTAAAAAAACAAAAGTGAGTAGCCTATATGTTCTTCCAGACTTTCCTCTACATCTATAACAAATTTCATCGAAATCTGTTAAGCCGTTTAAGCTCAAAATAAGAAACATCCATCCCTCCATCCATCAAATGTAAGTATGAGAGTATAATTAAAAATATATTTATAAAGTAGACGTTGTGTCTGAATCATTTAATGAATAAATAACAGATAGAGCTAAAATTAATAAAAACTGCAGTCTCAGTTTCAGGCCATTTAACAAGAACTCTTCATTACAGAATGTAGGTCACAACTTAAGTTAATAAGAGTAATGAAATGAACAAGTTGTTTACATCATACAATTTTAGCGCCAACATAATAAATTATAAATCTGTTTCCGGTCAAACTGTTCTAATTAATTAAAATTGGTAAATATGTTATGCTTACGATGTAACAAACAAGAAAATTTCCCCATTTACGGTAGTGAAAGGTTGTTTTGATTTCACTTTGCTATTCTTTCATAATATTTTTCATTTAATTACTATATACGCTGTCATTTGCAAATTATTGTCACCTGTACAAACCAGTATACAATGTGACAATAATTTAGAAACTAGCCTGTGGTTAGCAAGCTCCTGTGATAGATACAAATTGCAGCGAGCATTGCGCCGCGCGTGCACCGCACCAGCGGCAAGGTGAACCACAAAGCCGTGCTTGCAATTAGAATGCCTAACATTATTTACTTTCGCACAACTGCTGTACCGGATTAGCCATATAAAGTGTATAGTTTTCGGTATAAACAATACATTTGTTTAAGAGAAATGTGCTACAACGAAATGGATTGTAACCTTAAGAAATTAAAGATATAGGAATGGGTATTAGTAAACTTTGCACACAATAATATGATAGTTATTATTTTTGAGATTAAACACCTATATACTTATAAATAATGTAGTTACATACAAGTGTTAAAATCATGTATGTTAGCATAACTCTGTTAACTGTGTCATTTTTATCTAGATAAAATTAGCAGTAACTTATGGATCATAGTTCAATGTCCTTTTAGAGTTGACATTGTTAGTATATGTTTTTTTTATCAGGATTACATTCCTAGAATTTTTCAGTCGTAGCATTTCATACAACATAAAAACACAGAGCAATGTTAAAAATTATATGTTGAAAATACTTTACGCATATGGTGGAACTAGTTTTGTCAGTCATGATGATTCATATCACATTCCCCTTCATTTCAATTAAAGACCACTAAACTGTCTACAGTGTACTAATCGTTAAAACAACAAAGACCAATTATGAAATATTACTTGGAAGGAAAATAACTATTAATTTTAACATAAATGTATATTTATAAATATTTTATGGACATAAATATGTTTATTTGCTGCGAAATTGGTATGTGATAAACCTCATAAGTTACAAATATACTTGTATTCTTGATATCAGAGAATTTAAACACAAAGAGCTATTACCTGTATTTACGTCAGTTAGAAAAAAGTATAGTAAAAGCTTCTAGAATAAAATAAAATAGACAATCAATGTTAAAATAGACGAAATTCCACGGAACGCCGGCCACGACAAATAAAAACTAGCTTGTACGAGTAACGAGTAGTGCAAATAAAAAGACATACTGCTTGGTCAAGCGTCGCCCGCCCGTCGTGCGCTCCCATACTATCTGTATCTTTATTTATATCACTTTTTACAGGGGACAGACTAACAATCTAAATACTTCAGCTGCACTATAATACTATATAGTTGACAATCTTAAATGCTATATGAAGCAATAAATTTGTTACCGATGCGAATGATTTGCAATGGATTGAAAATATAACCTAAGTTCTTCCGAAATGTTACTCAAATGTGGGGGAATAATAGTGCTACAAACATACTTGTTTTAGATATTATACGTAGTTTTAATATTAAAAATAGATATGAAATTACATTTATATTGTATCCCCAATTATCCAAATAAAGTGTTCACCTGTCTAACCTCGCGTTGATTAGTCTTAGAGACAGGTGTATTTAAATGTCAATTATTAGAATTACTATTACCAAGAATCATGTTTAACGTTGAATAAAATTATAATTTACATGTATAATGAAAACGTAAATGATATTACAGTAATAGAATATAACGCCAACCTGTTATCATTTAATTTGAAAACACACCTTTAAACGGTTTAATTAGGTTGTACATACATTGCAGACTACGGCATAGCCTAGCTTAGCCACCACCTTGGGTTTAATTTGATGCATGCTCTACAATATTTATATCAGAATTTAATTCGTACATTAAAACTTACTTGATATATTACGTAATGGATGTTACACAAAATACAACAAGTTTTGATAGACAAAGTTCCCGCATGATTTGGGGACATTACCGAAATCAGGATCGCTCTACAGGAAGTATGACTTTAAAAAATATTGTACGATAAAATGACTCATTGTCAGTCATACGATAAGGCATTTGAAATAAATCAAACAAGCTCACAATGTACCGAGCGTTCCACCGCTACGCTCTGGCTGCGTCGCAATGTTGCTAGTTTTACACGAGGGCAACACAGTGAGGCAGAACAGTAGGATAGATCAGTACCATAATGACGTTAATTTTAACGCTCAAACAATAGCAGTACTGCACTACCCTACTGTTCAACCAAATATTCGGCCCCTGTGTGAAACTAGCATAACATAATTTGCGGTCGGCAACCCACTCCCTCGGGACACGTGGGTCCTACTCGTCTAGACGATAAAATAATACTAAAAACCCTACCGCTTTATACCAATAGAAATCTGAATATAATACAACATCGTGGTTAGGGAAAGACATAAAACGGTCCACTTTGTTATAAAATGTTAGTCGTCATTTTAACAGTCTATAATTAGAAATACGTAAGACTAAAATAATATATTTTTTATTTCCTGGCATGTTTGAGTTTCTATATCTTACAAAAAATATTATTGTTGCAACTGGAACAAAAGTTTCACGAATCAAAAACAGTTTTTATTTAAAAACCTTAAAATGTTAAAAAATACTCATAATTTTTGTGTACTATATTTTTAAAAACGTTCCTATTATGAATACGCATTAAATTTCTATTCATTATTGCAGGAAAGCTAAAAGCTTGCACAGGAAAATGTATTTTGGATATTGTATTCGTTAATAGAAGAGAATTTTTAATTAAATCATGAATTCTTAATACCCAAAGCAGTATCTACCATATAAATATTAGATATAGATTCTAAAGCCTATTGCTTTCCGAAGGTTGACAATAACTTGAACATTCGCACTCTAGTATTGCCTATCTGCATTCGTTGAGGCCTATAAGAGCTGTGTTTTTATTAACCCCCCGTCTAGACAGGTTTTTACTGGAGCATCAGGTGCCTGCATGAAAAGTGGTTTAGAAATCTTTCTTGAAAGGGACAAGTATAATTAAGTTTACATGTCTCTTTAGAAATTCAAATGAAATGAAGCGATTGAAGTAGCTGTTATTCCTTTTGCAGACTGTGCTCTGTTTAATTGAAATTAAACATTGCCTGTATTGCATTGCTGCAATTGAGTTGATTAATACAAATTCGTTTTATACAGCTTCCTCGATAGTCGTAATAAAGTCCAAAAAGGAACAAAATGCCGATCCCGTATAACTTAGTAACAAATATTTTATAGCTGAAACAATCCAAAGGACACTTTTCTTCAAATTATCCTGTGTATAAAGAACTTGTTAAATCCAAACAATTCGTCAACTTTAACTAACTCAAACCAAATATATCAAAATACAAATTTCATACGTCTTGTTGATAGGATACAGTTTCTCCGTAAATTGGAATATGTTTATTGAGAATGTTGGAATAATTCTTGACAGCAAGTGAACCTTTCACCGATAAAAGTGAATGTGTCGAACAACTTTATTGCTTAATACATATAACCATTTTATTGCATTACTTATTACTTCGCTTACTCGTAACATGTTATGGTTACGTGCTATCATTTCATTATAATAATTTCATTTTTAATTTTTTAACAGAATGTTATTTTACGTAATTTCATCATTAAAAAGTAAAAACGTGCTGGTTTAGTCTACAAAAAAAGTCTTATCGTATTAAAAATATTAATGGTACTGGACACAGTACACAAGAAAGAAATTTAAGAGTTCCCGTTTACCGTTGTTTTTTTTTTATTTTCAAACAGAAAAGAACATTGTACTGCGGGTTTAGTAATTTTATTGTACAGCTTACATCCTGTAGACGGTGCGTCCATCTGACTTTCAATTAAGAGAGAAATTACTTAGTTCATACACGTCCCGCACTCGAGTGCTTTGTGTGAATGAAGTGCGTTAAGTACAGGGGCGCCAACAACACGGACATTAATCATAAGCATCATTATCAAAGGATAGTCTAGACTAGTTATGTTAATCATATGTGTTGTATAAGGGCCTGTCCCAGCACTGGCTGATAGAGGCTCAGATAGTTTGCAAATGACGTCACTGTCACATAAGGGAATAAAATCCGATATTTCCATCAATCATTTTACACATTCGTTTGTTATCATATAATTTACTATTAGGTAGGACTGACAATGTTTTGCCGATGGAAATCTTGTTATGTGAGGAGGGATAGAATTTTGAGATGTAATTAGAAATACCATCATCGTCTAGTATAATACTCTTCTAAAGAAAAATTGTAACAGAACTTATTTCAATAATTTTCCATCTATTAATATCAATTTCGAAGCGAGGCAACAAAGTTCGTTTA